GCCAAACGACAAGTGACAGAGACAGTGATAATGCCAATAAAAAATACTGAAAATTCTGCATAGGCCTTCCTCCTTTTCCTCCCAGTCATGAGATCATTATTATTACTGGTAGTGACAAAAATAAATTTAGATTCCTTTTATTAACTCTTCGGTCTTTCAGTATTTATGGCTTGTGACTTACATTTTCCTTTTCTTACTTTATAAGGGACTATGAGGGATTTTTTTCCTTTTACGGAAGGCTCAGAGCCAGTCCTAGTCACACGACTCTTCTGATACACCACGAAAAAATCCCACCACATCTTTATCAATCTTTTGCTACATCAGAACAACTGTCTATACAGCCATGACTTTCTGAAATATTAATTGTGGGCTAGACTATGGAATATAGCTATGAATGAGTGAAGTACATTACCACAGATAGGGTAGGCAAGGAGACATGAACACTTCTTTCAGTTTAGCTCCTGAACACATTTTTCATCAGTGATCATGGTAACCAGGACCTTCCAGCATTACTCTCCTGCCTCATTTTAGGGCATGGCACTCAGGGCTGCAAGGGGAAGCAGAACAACCTTACACTTCCCTTTTACATTGCCTGTACATCCAACCAGACAGATTGTATATTCAGCTCCCCATGACTAGGCACAAACTGAGCTTCAGACAAAAAATTGGCACTAGAAGTGTTATAGAAATCTTCTTCTGCAAAGGCTCTGAAAAAGAAAATAACCATGCACACGCACACCCCCTTTGGTGATGCAGATGCAGAGTCTGAGAAACGATTGGACATCATGGATAATTACAAAATGCAATCAGCATTTACTAGTTCTTCATGATCTAACTTGTCTTGCAGTCTCTGCTATAATTTATACGTCACCCAAACCATACAAATAAACACTAAACCATCTTCTTCTTCTTCCTTTTTTCTTTTCTTTAGTTAATAAGGGACTCAGCATGCTACAGAAGCAAGAATAAGCCTGAAGGAAAAACAAAGATGAGCCATCTCAATCAAGAGGATTGAGACACATGTGGACAGTTTCTAAGACATCTTGCATCTCTGCTGATATAAATATAAATAATCAAATTGACAAGATGCGCTCTCAGCTCCATGAGGGCCCCATGCACCCTACAATCTGCCTACCACCAAGCCCTATGGCTTTGTCCCAGCATACCACACCATGTCCACAGTTCATTTGCTCTAAGCAGCAGGCACTCAAGGAGATCTGGCCCAAATTATATTAATTGCACATAGTATTAAAACCACTTTTGAAAACATATGGAAAGTAAAAAAAAAAACCCTCCCTCGATTAATTATTTTCTAAGCTATATTAACAACAAGAAACTGGAAAGCCTACTGTCTAATGCATTCTATTTTTCTTCAATATTCAGGAATATAGCATATGGAAAATTAACTAGGAAATTGTTAGTTCTTGTCAGCTTTTTCTATTACCACTTCTTTTCATCACCAGCAAAACGAACCAGATGTAACTAGAAACCCAGGAATTTACATTTTCTTACTCTGGTCACTATACTTTTACAGTCATCAGCTTCACTGAAATAATGAGTAAGTAGCACAGTAAAGCAAGCCAACTATAAATAAAGCATAGGCCTCTTCCTTGGTGGAAGTTATATAAAAAGCTGGAGTCTTGCTTTCCAGAGGCTGCCCACTAAAACTTAATTACACACTCAAATTATAACTTAAGAGCTGCCCTAATAGGAGTTCCACGTGCAGAGAAAACCTCAGAGCAACCTTACACTGAGCATGACGGTACTTTTAATGAGTGCTGTCTGCCCCTTTGGGGAAAATAGAGAATAAAGCTTGAATTAACAAAATTCATCGATTTCTAGCACAGCTGCACCACACCATGAACAGAGGCGCCACTCAGCCTGAGCTTACTGATGCAGGGCTGTCCTCAGCCACATTAACACCCGGGCAGCTGGGAAAACATGCAGAAGGGCTCCTTGCAGAGCAGCAGCAGCCACCCCATAGGGTATGTCCCATCCCCTCTGACCCCCTCAAAGTCTTAGTGTCAGTCTCCAGGTAGCAATACAAGAGCAGACACAGCCACTCTCACGCTATTTCACATGAGCGCTCTCAGGCTGTGGCTCAATGATGCACCGAGGCCCACATAATGGTCCGCTGCCACAAAAAGGGTCTTTTCTGCTTTCTGCATCCACTCATGCCCACTTCCTCTCTTGCTTCTTCAAGTCCCAGACTGAGCAGAAGAACACAGTGAAACAGAAGTGGATACTTCGCAATCAAGTTAAGAAGCTGGAGTGGATTTGTGAAGCATCCAGGCACCAGAACCAGCTCGAAGAAGGAAGCAGGACTGGGCTTAGAGCAGGGATTAACACGCAAGGAATGGGAGAAGAGGGCAGAGAGCTGGACCATCTCTAAGCAGCACCAAGCCATTAGGGTTCTCAGCTGTATGGCTGAGTCATGGCCTCATTCAAGCAAGGCTGGCTCAACAGCAGTAGCTCAAAGGTGGGTAAGATAACTCCACAGCTAAGAAATACCTTAAAGGTATCTTTACAGAATATATTGCCTTCTAAAATGCCCCTGTTTTGTAATGCTACTATAATTTTTCGGGTAGGTCCATCTATGATCAGAGTTTAAAATACCACTGGGGAAAAGAAAGCAGCAGGTACTGAGGCAGGGGAAAAGAGCTCTTTGGTTTGAAGCATTTTGGTGACCTGATCAGCAGCACAACCCACAAGGCCACACTGCAGAGGGTGTGCAGCCCAGGATGGGAGCTAATGGCAAGGAGGCCTTCAGCTTGCTTTGCCTGCTCAGTGAGCATCTTGTGGGACCTCGAATGCTGTCGCAGAGGGTCCAGGCAAAAACAGAAACAGAGAACACAAGAGGACAATTGGCTGACTCCTGTTTTTCCTTGACAGCCTAGGGTACTCAAATGTCTGGCTGTCCTTGTCCCACTCTCTCCTCCACATACTACCCTTCTTCACCTCCAACACACACCTTGTTCGCTCACAGACCATTTCAGGTAGCTGTTTTGTTGTAGTAATAAAGTCAAAAAACAAACCAAAACAAACAAACAAGCTTCTTCTGACAGTTTGTATTTTGGCTGAGTGTGCTGAAATAGCAATGAGTGACAGACCCTGAAGAGGGATGACAGGGTCAATAGCCTAAAGTTGGACGAGAGAGGAAAGCAGCAGCACCATGGCAGGCTTAGGCTGCTAAGGCTGCATATATTAGGACTTGCTCTTTTATTAAATCTCAGGTTCTGTTAAATTTGCACTTATGTGCAGTGATGTACAGTATTAAAAACAGAAAGGCATGTACAGCATAGCACAGATGCTTTACAACTCCCTTTGCAAAACCAGACTTGGAAAAACCTGACCCGCAGACCCTCTCAGAAGCTGCAAAACACCAAGATGAGTGCAGTGAGTATTGAGAGTTCATCAACACGTGAAGCTGCTGGAAACTCCTACAGACTGAGTCTTTGTTCAATGCCCAAACCAGATAGCGTTTCTCCCCACAGGCAGAAACACTGATAAACAGATTAGACAGGTAGATCGATCAATGCATCTTTGGTGACACATCAAATAAGAAAAATCTGAAATCCCTCCAAATGCAAGCCACTTAATTAAAAAAAGCAATAGACTCTGCTCACATGTCCCACATGTCCAGTCTACAAGCCTACTGTGTGGTTTGAAAACCTATACCCTCAGCCAGGAATTACTACTAGGGTGTAACTTGCTGAGCAGTTCTTTCAACAGTGGCGCTGGCTTAAGTAGTTTCCCTCCCAAATAGTTATTTTTAATCCAGACCAGTCTGCTACAGCTTGGCCCATCCCACAGCTACAAAACAGTACTACAAACACATCTGAGGGTTGAGGAGGGCACTTTCTTTAGCATTGATGCAGCTAAATGAAATGCTTGTAAAAATGTGAACATTCCCTGACTGTTTCAATAGAAAATAAAGTGCTTTAGTTTAAATACCTTCTGCAGTGGAGTAACTTAAACCATTTAACTTAGGTAAATTAATGACAAAATAAATTAGAAGCAATGACTTTTAATTTGCTCACTTTCTGATCTTCATAGGCACATGTGAGCCTGCCCATTTAATATGTTTTTTTAATTAGTACAGTAACCATGTGCATATGTTTACATCTACTTCAACCTGTCTTCGTTTTTAAAATTAATTTGGTCCCTAAACAACAAATATTATATGAACACAAGACAAGTTGACAAATTTGATAACTAGACACATTTTGGGGGTTTGTTCGTTTGGTTCAGGTTTTTGTTTGTTTGTTTTAAAGTGGCATAATATGTGCTACAGACCACACCACTGCAAAAAATAAAGACCATAACCCCAAAACACTGAAGATGAAACCATGAGCTATTGGAAATGCAGAATATAGCTGGAATTAGGCAATAGGGATTAAAAATCCAATAAACCATTGACCACACAACAGGCAGGGATCAATGAGATCATATTTTACATTTCCCAATCTAAGAACTACTGGATTCTAAAAAGTACTTAATTTTTCTGTGGAAAATTCCCAGTACCTCTTGAATGGGACTGTCAGAGACAATTTGTGTTCTGTTTCAAAGCTCACTTACTACTTTTGCTTTAACCCCTACTGTTGCTTGAGAGCAAAAGCCTACTTGAAGTAGTAACTGTCAGAACATAATTTAATAGTGCAACAACCCAGTTGATACTTTCTGTAGTACCCTTCTCATGAAGCCAGCAGACACTTACTCAAGACTATGGTCCCGAATTTCACCAATGGTGAAAACTCGTAAGGTGTTCTGGTAAAGAACAAATGTATTTTCAGAAGTCAGCTTTCAATTTTATGTCAAAATGCCACAGTCATTTGAAAAAACACAGCCAGAATTAAAACAATAAAAAAGGAAATAAAGTAAGACCTGGGTTTCCCTCCACATGTTCTCAGCAATATGAAATTTAAAACCCAGTTTTCAGATGACATCACTTAAATATCAGCCTTTAAATACACTATCAACGATTTAAGCAGAATACTTACTCTGTGCCACTTTCAACCATTTGTGTTAGGAGGGAAATGCCATCTAGGTTTATAAATTCTTGGGCAAACGTAACATCCCGTGAATAGTTGGCTAAGTCTTTCAGTGCTTCTAACTTTGCATCCATACTAGAAGACTGGATCCTCTCGTGCAGCTGCTGTGCATTTTGAGCCTGAAAGAGAAAAAAAACACACAAACCAGAAAACAACAAAAAAGCTTTCATTAAAATGGCAATAATTAATATAACATTAGCACAAACAGGAACAATGGCCATGGTTAATACCAACGATACTTAACATGTGCATGCTCAGAAATAATCAAGTAGCTCACATATACTTATAAGAAAGTAATTTGTATTACTCATATATTACTCCATTATTACCTATAATTATTTGGATTGCTGCAGAATTATAATATGTGTGTCCCATTGTCTCAGGCAAAATGTAAGCATTACAGAAGAGTCTTTGGCTTGAAGAGCTTATATGCCACATCAATAAAAGTAGAAATGAAAATAAACCGAATTGCATCAGACAATCTCAGTGTAACAGTGGCAGCACTTTCTTCCTGTCAACTCTTACTCCATTTATGCACTTCTCGTGACCTTTAACAATGAAGACTGTACACTGTTCTAATCAGGTTATATCAGTAGAGACCAACTTCAGGTCTTCTGCTCCTTCCTCCCCCTCTTCCTTTTGTTTACAACCAATTCAAAAATTACCATACTCTCTTACAAGGAGCATAGGAATAATTACTTCCCACATAATACTATGATATTATCACTCATATGTCTTTATGTAAGCTCAATATCCACACATATTAGGCTATTCTGCCCATTACTGCTTCAAATACAGGATGAGGTGGTAAAATCTAAAATGAACACTAATGATAAAACGCTAAAGGGATATTTAAATAATGCATATTAAATTGTCTCTCTCTTTAGTCATACAAATACATCTCACGATTTCAATGTGATGCTTTCGCTTACCTGAACACAATACACAAAAGCTTCAGATAACAGCTTGCTAGGTAATACTTTTCTTAGAAAAATAATCTCCTCACTACATACAGTTACTTGCAAAATTCAATTACCTAAAATTCATTTCTTACTTGCACCAAATGAAATCTGAATGAGAAGCAGTGTGTCATTAGGAAACCAAAATAATGGTAAATTCTGCTGAGAGTTATTTTCTCTGAGATTATGCTTATTCTTTCTCAGCTGGAGAAGAAAAATAGAAGAACAGGCTGTGCTGACAGACAATTCCTTTTCTGTTCAAGTAATGAATATACTCTTTACAGAGATGGTCATCTCTGCAGACCAAGATTCTGCGATAGTAGACACTTTTAGTGTAAGAGAACATTTAAACATGGAATATAGGAACAAAACACCAGAGTGTTGTTACAGATACAGCTTCCTATCCACATAACTATGACTGCTTGAACACTTAATTTATTAATGTTTGTGAAATATCCTCCAAGATCAGCAAGGTTTTCTGCTTCCCATTTTTACAAGTAAAAGCTAATGTACCGTCTCCAGTCAGCTTTTGGCCAGAACTTACGTTGTGAGAAGCATGTGTGGGGATGAAATATCTTCTAGTTAATGAGACTGTGCTTAACATCTTCGGTTAAGGCAACATTAAAAAGAAACAGAATATCTTTAGTCCTGAGCTTTTCTATGCCTTAAGTACTGGGTGGTGCAGCCATAGCAGTTATATTACCTATAAAAAGCCAGACTCCTGTCATCCAAAAGGTCTTTCTACCACCCCATGTTATCCACTCTACCAATAGGTTTGAGTTGTAATGGAGAAACAAGGCTTATACAGTCTCTCTATAATGGCAATGTCTGACCAAACGGTACTGAAAGAAAATTCTCTCAAACTTAAGCAGCTGGTAGGCTAAATAATTTGTCAAAGCATGTGGAAGTAGTAAAATTAAATCCCACTAACTTCTCACTCCCAGGATAACCACAGAATACTTCCTCCAACCTTTTCCCTTTCTCAGAGCAGGTGAAGGAAGCTTTGCTAAAGTACTTTTGTATAATGAGCTACAAAAATTCAGAGCAAGCACTACTATCACCTAAACTGTTCAACACCCAACTCCTACCTCACCAAAAGACCTCCTCCATTGAACCGTTTCTACTCTAGAAGCCCCGTCATAACAACTCAAGAAGACTCAGATGCAAAGCATCCCCAAAACATTACTCTTTCTCAGAACAACATCTGGGCAACATCTGAATTCCTGCCCACCTCAGAAAAGAAACACTTTGGAAAATCTTCAATACTGCCATGGCAGCTGCCTTTCCCCTGACTTTTGGGAATGGTTGTTCAAATTTAACCTTAAGGTCATTAACATATGAGCACATGACTTTTTTCATGTACCATGGTTCTGGGAAGTTACCACTCCCACTATCTGCCTATTGATGGACACAGTTTTTCCAGCTTTTCCTCTGAAAGCTCCTGGACTCAGTGAAAATGAAACAAGCAGTAAAGATGAACAAAACACCTGGTTCAGTGTGACCGAGCAGTTCTCCTGAGCTGCTCAACCAGTAAGACTGAGTGGGCAGAACTGGGGCAGCAGAGCTGTGGCCAAATAGATGAGGACTGCAATCGCCTGTGCAACACAGCAGCAAGCAAAAAAGAACATGTAAGTAGAGCCAGGAAAACATCCTCCTCTAAATCCCTACACATCACATCTACAACTGCTGTGCAAACAATGACTCATCTTCGCACACAGATTGCTAATGGTCAAGCTCACTCTTCCTTTAGGGGAGAAATTCCTGCTCCCAGCATAAACACCCGGGGCTGATGAACTGCTGCTGCCATCCCAGTTAGACTTCCATTTCATGCGAATCAATGCCAAGCATGGAAACAGCTGACCCTACCTCTGACCAAAACAGGGATGTGCTTTACCAGCTCACCTATACTGCAGAACAGCAGCATGAGCGGGACCAATCTATTGACAGAGATGCATTAATCCTCCTTCCTCTGAAGTCAGTGAGAGCTTTGAAATTCACCACACTAAAACCAAAAGATAAACTTAGATCAGAGACAGCTTGGTCCCCTCTACAGAGCACAAAAACATCTATAAAGCAATGTCTCTCTGATATCAAAGTGGTTCAGTCCCAGCTAAAGCACATAAAAGAGAGCTTACTAACATCACAGGCTTTATCTGGCTATGCCAATGTTAATGCCCCATAGCAAAGCTTCTACACAGATGACTTTTCTATTTTAAATAAGTTTTGCAAGACACTGCATCCAATAAATCTCAGTCCTTCTTATCAGAAAAGGACTGATAATGGCAGAGCAGAACTTGATTAAAGGGACAAACAAATATTTGTCTCAGCAACAGTGCTGGTACGTGTCTCACTGGAAACATGGCCAAAAGTAACACTGGCTGTTGTCATCACAAGAGCCCGATGGGTGAAAATGTTGCTTCAGTGAATACCACACCGCTATCCCAAGCCTCCGAGTTCTTGTTGCCATAGCACTCATACGTGCTTATGGAATGTACAGCTCACTTACGACTGCATTTAAAAATGAAACTCAGATGAAATATGCTCCGAGGGCTTACCAGGGAGCTATTTTAATGATTTAAAATCCATCAGTGGATGGACAGAGAGCACAGCTCATTAAAGCAACAGCTGAGCGAGCTGCCATGTCTCTGCCCATACCAAAATATCATTCAGGTAAGAATAAATAAATATATAAAACCTGCCCAACTGAGAACTTTTATGAGGGAATTAACAGAAATACAGCTGTTCAAGTAAATGAAAGACAGCATTAACTGCTCTCCTGTTTAGGAAGGAAGATGGAAAGCTTGTAAAACGTGTGCTGTTGAAGCCCCAGCATTTCAAAAGGCTGTCAAGAGGCATAAGCTGCATGTCTAGTCTTAAATGAGTTGCTCCAAGGACAGCCAGAAAGGTTGCCCTTAGCGAGGAGCAGTGCTTAAAAGGAGCAGCTTGATGGGATTGTCAGCTTAAAAGGAAAACTAATGACCTAAATCCAAGATGTGACTTGCTTAGAGACTCAAATAGCCACTTGGAGGTTAGGAATCCCAAGATCATCCTAACAAGGGATTCTAGTGATCAAATTATCATTTCTTTGCCACTGAATACTTTGTGCAAACTTTGAAAGCAACTTAATACCCAGACGTACACAGGGTTTCTGTACAGAATACACAACACAGCGAGCATGGAGGGAGGACACAGATTCCAAATGCAACCAGTATCAAACAATGTGCTACGGAAGAAATTTGGGCCATTAATTTAAATTGCTGTTTTGCCATTATGTAAACAGTTTTCTTCCTTATCCTTCACAAAAAGCAAATAAAGTAAAATACGAGTATTTTGGTCTTCCCTGTTGGTAAGTTTGTCACATGGTTCAATGTTCTGCTAGGAAAAGAGCACACAGACCATCAGTAACTACCCAATACAGTTTTGTATTAACCAAACAGGTCAGCTTCTGTGGTTTAATTTAAATCACTCAGTGTTGAAACACCATGGTGCTGCCTTTTCCTGGCTCCTTGCTGCCACTTCACCTAGAATGGCATATACGTCAGAAAGCAGTGGAGGAGGGGTTATCTTACATAACCATCATTATATGCAAACCAGATTCAACAGACCCAGCAAGGTTGATTGGCATCTGATGCCAGGTAAGCAACGAGCTGACATTTTAATTATTTAGGACATTAATTGTTAACATTTTTACATTAATACTCAAGCACAATTCCTACATCTAAAGCCCTGTACAAACGTAATACACAGAGCAGTCCTACACAATCACTACGCACAATTAAGAAGGCAGAAACAGAGAAACAGGAAAATGGGCATGTCTAGAGTCATGTACTAAATCAATGATAAAAGCATGACAAATACATAGCCATAAGTATTACGTAAATATACCTAAAATAAGTTTTTGCAATCACTAGCCACTTATGAATGTTTGAGAAGCAAATTTTCCTCTTGCTGCCTTTGAAACAATCCTTTTTGCTCACTATTCAGAATATGCCTTTGGAAACCTGAAACCACGAGATTAAACCTTTATCTATAAAAAGACAAAAACCAACTCCACTTTCCAAATCTTCCTCTTGTACTATGAGAAAACAAACAAAATTGGCTCACTGACTTCCATGGTAAGTGCTGCTGGTACAAGGCAAATAATAACTAACTTCCCATTACATGATAAACATAATCACAATCACAGGCTAGACCTACAAATACACATTTACTGAAATTCTACTGAAACATTAAGACAGTTGAACACATATGAAAGCAATTGTAGATCAAAGATAATAGATTCGATCCCCAAACTTTTAATCAAACAGAGGATTCAGATGCATAAGCAGAAATAGGTTTAAAAAACCTCTACACTTAATTATCTGTGTAGATCACATAAATAAAAATTGCTCACATCTGTAAAAGCATTTAGGGAAAACACCATGATGACTATTAATGAACAACCCTATTTACAGGATTGTTCATGCTAGAAATCCTAATACAGCTGCCTACAAACAACTTACAGGTTTAAGAACTCAACCCATCTCCAACCAGGAGATCAAAGAAAAACATGCAACAAAAGCAAATGATCAGGCACCATAAATACCACATTAGAAAAGGCCAGCCACTGACTCAACCTTTAAGGTTTATAGTTCATGAGCAAGGCATGGGTTTTTTAAGTGCCCAAGAAGCTACTTTCAAACAAACAGCAAGTACTCAAATAATCAGTTCTGTTTGAAAACCAATAAATTTAAGAGGCCAGTTCCTTCAGTATAATTTTCCCAGTATTTTAGCATCCTTGCCAAATGATAAGTCATTTGACTGAGGATCTGCAGGATCTGACTGAAGGAATCCTGCAGTTGCACACACTAAAAGGCTGGACTCTGCTTGCTGCATTGCAGGACACAGCTGTCCTTACGAAACAGCCTCACAGTCTGGAGCAAGAACAGCTCATTTATCAACCCACCATCCCCTGGAATAGGGGTATCACAAAAGAGACAACAGCAATCTGGCATTTCAACTGTCACACATGTTCCAATACAAAGTAATGTTGCATAAGAAACTTCTGATGAGTCCCTTCAGAAATGCAAATGGACAAGGGGGGAAAACAGGTAATGGAAAACTGCAAAAACACACAATAGCACAAAGAATGGTTAAGAAAGATGATAGGCGAGGTTAAAAATAAATAGGAAAGATGATATAGGAACAAAGATAATATGAGAGAAATTCAATCTGTACTCAAGTTACCTAGGAAACAGAGTGTCTGTGTGGTGAGTGGTTTGTAGAGGGGAAAAAAATAGCGTTGTTTAGAAAAAACAGCCTTTCAGAGAATCGAACAAACTTAGCAAACAGACCTACAGAAACAAAGAGGCAGTTCAAATTCCCACCAGGCCTGACGACTGGCGTTTGCAAAGTTTTAACTCAAAGAAGTTTAAAATAGACACACTGTAAATCTCTGAAGGCGAGCATTTATAATGGATTTAGCAGCACACCATAACTGCAGTTTCACCCTTGCAATATTAATTATGATTTTTCAGAGAAAGGTCCCTATGTATGCACACAAAACAATCTAAATTAGAGATTAAAAGAGAGAAAATATTTAACATTTAGATTTAGGGGGACAGATTGGAAATCCTAATTTTAAAAAAGCCAACCCAAAAATGCTGTTTTACTAATTATAGGTAAAACTATCTTCTTTCCTCTTCCTCATTTTAATCTTTAATAGTACCTGCTCCAGGTACATGAACCATACACAATTTGAGGCTAATGAACTTAAAAAAAAAAAATCATCTCTCAGCCTTCTCACCCAACTTTCAATGACTCACAATATGCAGCTGTGTATGGGTAGGGCCACACTACTGGCTGTCAAGGTAATAAGTTGCATGAAAATTAAGAACTAGAAAAGCATTTTAAATTCATGCAATCTTCCAGACTGGCCAAAACTATTCTTCTCAACTCTTCCAAGGAAGAAAAGTTTCCTCAAAAGGCTTATGAAGCTCAGGACATGAGGGTTTTCTGCCCAAAATAGCCAGGAAGTAGGCAGCTCAGGCCTCTCTGGAACTACATGGACACATCCCAGATACTGCATAACCTGTACGTAGCTCCTCTTAATTTGCCTCCAATTTCCTTTCCTTCTTTTCCAACTTCCCCACATCTTCAAAAAGCAATTTTGGTATGATTTTCTGGGGAAAAGGGGATATAGTTTCAGCTTTATACTGATGTAGGGTAGAGAAAAAAGGGAGTATAGGTGAATTCAGAATCTTAATATTTTCACAGGATGAGAAAACCATTTCCCACCCAGCTCTAGCAGCTAGGAAAGCATCTTTCCCATTTTGTCGGAGTATATCATGCAGCCTGTTCTTCACATTATCTCCTCCAACTACTGTTGCTCTAATACAGAATTTCAGAGGAAAAAATGGAAACAGATGGCCTGTTAACTTTCCAGGGTAAACGAAAAGTGTTGTGCGGGTCACCAGCCTAAAAACCACAGCTTGGAAGCCTTTAATCTGTCTATTTTAGGTACTTCTGTGATGACCACTTCAACAGTATCTTAAAAGCAAAGATACTATTGTAGGGCGGGAACATGCAGAACTTTATGTTTATTTAGAGAACACAAAGAGTCTGTAATCTGACAGTCAAAAATCAATCCAGTCTGTGGAAACCTCCTTCCAAGCTACCTCTCCAATTCCGGGAAAAAGTTAACACAAACTTTTTTAGAACATCAAAAAATCTGAAAATAAGCACTGGTTCAGGGATAAATATAAATACTGAAGACTAGAATGTAGACTGGCCTTATAACAGGATGGCCAAGTCACTCATAACTGCAGGCCAGTGCCAGAGTGGTCCATAACTTGGTAGGTTTCAGTACCTCAATATCTGAAGGACCCCTGTCTTGGTTGACAAGGCAAATCACCAAATAAACAGAACAAGTAGAAGAGAGTCTTATGCAAAGCTCCACCTTCCTGCCCATAGATATTGGAAGAAAGTGTTATAAATCCAAAATTGGTCTTTTGTGTTTGTAGGCCACATTTCCAATTGCACAAGTGATCATGAAGACATGCAGACAGCCGTTTCCACAGATGAGTTGCAGCACGGTCTCTCTTCAGTTTTGCATGGTGCAGCAGAGGTCCCAAGTCTGGGCATTAGATAGCCCTTCTTCAGTGGTGTCAGAATTAGTTCTTAAAAAGTCCCAAAGGTTAGGAAGAGCTGGTGCTGGGGCTGTTTCTGAGGAAGTTTCACCAAATGGGGTTTACTCCAGCAGCAAGTGGTTTCTCCATATACAAGGCTGTTCTGGAGACATACAGCAAGAGACTCTGGAGTCACATAAGACTCTGACAGAGCCATGGTCTTAAACTGTTGTTTATTCTTATGACTGTAAAGCTCTGTATATAACAACCACTGAAAAAGATGATGAAGGATAACAGAAAACTCTTGTCTTTGCCCAACTGGCAGCTGCTTGGAAGTCCTTTCTGTTAACAAGCTACACTCCTGTAGAGTAGTATTACAGTCATTTATTAAAAAACTTGAGACATGTATATGTTCCCACATTGGCTTCTTCAATTTCCACTTATACACAAACTTGCATACAAATTCAGTCATCTCCTAAGTCCAATATAAGCCACCATCAGGTTAAGTAGGCTAGATAGGAGAGGAAACGTACACAATGTCTGGAGAACCTGAGAAGTCAGAACAACATACACCTCCCTATTTCTTTAATTTCAGCCTAGGCCCTACTAGCTGAAAAGTGATCTGTCCAAAACTGTATCTATAGACTCTGTGTGGCTTCTATCTAGAAGTTTTCACATTTTATGGCACAACTGACCCCACTTTTAACAGAAGCCAAAAGTTAAACCCCCACAGCTCTGTCTTGCCTGTTCAAATGAGCTGCAGTACAGGGTGGTTGAGTCTGGCCATAAGAATCTTTTGAATCTGCAGAAGCCAAAACAGCACCATGAAGAGGTAGACCATTTTAATGGCACACTACATATGTCAGCAAGGAAATGGGACTGCTGCTGCCTTAGACATACATCTTCTGGGACTAACAGTGGCTTTCAGCATGTGGCAACAGTACTGCTCAACTCAGCGGGAAAACAGGCCATTAGAAGACAACCAGCAACTCTGCCGTGCTTTTTGAGGAGCTGTCAAGGACGTGGTGTTGAAAAAAAACAATATGCAAACAGTAAAATCTCAACACTACAGTTGCTGATCACTCATTAGAAACTCAAGAGAGCAGGAAGGCTCTGACCTGAGCTGCCCAGCAGAGCTCTCAGCCTTTTCTCTTGGCTCTGAGCTCTGGGACAGAAAAGGAGCACTTCAGTGAGGCTGCAATGCCAGCAGGGAAGGAGTGGTATCTTGGACATGAAAGCCATTCCCAGTGTGAGAGAAGTGAGAGACTAAAAACACCCAGTTGTGCCATCCCTATCACCAAATGCCACTCAGAGATACCATCCCTGCCTCCGTAACTCGGAAAAAGAGAACACCACATACAGTCATCCTGTGACCACACCATCATCCATCCTCCTTTGCAGGGGGACTATGGGAAACAGTGTGGGTAAAACTTAAAAATACACATATAATTCACAGTGATTTACTAATCAAATCTTCACAATAACTCACCGGAGATGTTGTTAATCGAAGGATCGCTCCATTTTTTATTTCATTACGATTCTGAAAGAGAAATATCCAAATAGTTTTTATTTAAGACTCACATAAAAAGATGAAACATGCATTGAGCAGAATGCCACATGAAACTAGCAGTAGTACTTCGCCCTGTCTGCACGCAACAGCATCCCTCTTTCATATGTGAACTCATATCTATACAGTATTTTCTCCATCAAGGCATACTAACAGTAGCTTCAAGAAATCAGCGGCTGTTCACATGACATTTAACAAATCTGAATCCATTCAAGAATAAATTCACATGTTTCAAAGTTTAGCTTCCAGTAGCAACTTCTAAATATTTCTTTGAAACATACTGTCCATGGTGTCTGGCTCTGGTATAGTGCTACATAGTTGAGGCGTTTGTAACTTTGCTGAAACCTGTCATTAAACATCTGCAGGATTTAAAGTTTATCCCACTGTCTCTCTGTTTTCTATAACAAGAACATGCTGACTTAAACCACTGGAACCATCCCACTGAGCTCTGCCACAACTTTGCATTCTCCCTCAAAGTAAAAAAAAAAAAAATAAATGCATCACTATTAGCAGTAAGCAAAGTTCAAACATGCCATAAGTCACTCTCCTTACCCGGCTGCCAGAGAGAGGCAGCATTAAACATTTTATTTTGGTTAAGCTTGTATAACACAATCGATTAAACTAAAGCTATCAGTAGATAAAAATGCTCCCATGGTGTAAGCTGTGGTGTACGCTTACGGCATCCTCACGATTCAGTGGTCAATGCCAATGTGCCTGGTCTTTACCTGTGGTAAAAGCTTAAGAAAGCATGCCCCTCTTTTTCTTTCAAGAAGCCACCTCCTGTTCACCACAGGTGAAGAGAATACAGTACCTAGCACAACAAACATACCAACAGGTACTGACTGCACAGCACAATGCACAGTCACAGCTTCGTTCATGGTTCAATTGCATGTTCATGAACTGATGCCCTAAATTGTAAAAGGAACTGGAGGAATCCCTAACAGTTTGTGAGAGAAGAGCTAATTTTGTTCTGAAGATCACATTGTAGGCTTTCTGCAGACTGGTGTTTTGCAAAAAAATAAAATAAAAAATAATTTAAAAAAAAATGAAAGTGTATTTCTTCTCAGGATATCTCTCCCAAATTCATTTCATCCTTCTTGCTCCCATTCTGATGGATCTTGAATCCAAAAATGCTAAAAACAGGATAGCTCTTGCCTGAAACCAGGTCAAGTAGTCCCAGAATAAACCCCCAGGACACTGTCTCTTTCTTGGTATCCAAGTTGTCTGTGGGACTGCTTCTAGCTACCTACAAGATCACTCTCCACCCACAAAGACTACTTCACTCTAACTGAAATAATTGAAGTGCCAGACAACACAGGGGGTACAGGGAAGAAGCTTTTTTGTTGAGTCTTTGCTTACTTATGCAGCTAACTCATTTCAGCCCTCAGCAGTCTCCTCCTGCCAGAACAACCCCAGGGAGGCCAGCCAGGCTCTACTCCAGAGAGGGGCAAAAAAGGGTGAGCAGCTAAATACAGAGTGACTTCCCACAGCACTAACAAAGCACAAGATTTTGTCCTCTTGTAGTAAAACAGCACCAGACGCAGCTACGTTTCATCATGTCTAAGGAATCTGTATGAAGTGGCAACAGTGCATTTGTGTGGTTTAACCTAAATCAGTGTTGAAATAAACTCACTTTGCAAACAGTTGTGGTGACTTAAACTGTTACCACCTCCTGGATTTGTGGAACTGAATAAAATTAATTGCTCTAGGACAGAGTCAGCATAGGCTAAATCTATCTCCACCAACAGCTTAAACTCAGCCACCACTGGACCCAGCTGTGTCAGGCCAGAGTATGTGCATGCACACATACACACACAGACACACACAGAATCGCTCGGT